CCCTGAGAACTGTCTGTCCGGGGTGGGGGTCAGGTCCCTTTAAGCACAGCCCTCGGCTAGCCTGAGACAGCAGCTCCACGCTCTAAGTCCTAATCTGATGCCCTGCCGGCACTGCTTCCGGCCATCCTTAACCTCGGTTCAGGGTCCACTCAATGTGGACATGCTAGTTCGAATTAGCAAAATGCTGTTCGAACTAGTTTATAGGTCTAGATGCACTAGTTCGAATTAGCTTAGTTCAAATTAACTAATTCGAATTAAGTTAGTTCGAATTAGTGCTGTAGTGTAGACATACCCTGAGTCATTCAATCCCTTTACATGTGCAGCTGAAAACATTTGAGTCTAGTTCTATTAGACTGTGGGCTATTTGTGGCAAAAAATTGTCTCTCTCTGTTTTGTATAGTACAAAGCATAGTCTATGATTAATAAACAAAGAAGTTGAATTAATGAGTAGAAATTAAAGAAAAAGAAGACAATAACAGTGTTCCCTTCAAGCCACTAGAAAGAAACATATTGGATCGGAACAGGTGCATGGATTCCAGTATCCTGAATCTGACACTGACATGTACCAAATACTTCAGATGAAATTGCATGTAACCTGCTGTCACGTTACTGAATTTGAGGGAAGCAGCCAGATCACTGCTGCACCCGTAGGTGGGGGTGTTGGCCCCAAAAAAGGTATAAAAGGGGGCCATGTGGGGTGTTGAATAGAAGCTCACTGTCTGCTAATCCTACGTACGCTCGTCATGTGATTGTATAATGTCTGTGTGTGTAGTTAGGAATCTGTAATCTGTGTGGATACTGAATATTTCCCTGCAGGTGGTTGAGCACTGGGCAGAGCCCGGCCTATGGACATGCTAATTAGTGAGGCCCTTTGGGACAATGGCACTCAATGGGCCAAGAACACACCTAAAGAATGAATGGTGACTCATGCCTAAGGGCTACCAGCAGGGAACACAGGAATAGGCTGTGGGCCAGGTGACCTGCTGTAGCCAAGAAGAGACCAGGAAGGAGGGATAAATAGGCCATGTGGTGGACTCCATCTTGGTCTTCAGCTCAGCACTTCATCCCAGAGGCAGCAATGCAGGGATCGAAGAGCCAGAAAGAACTGTGGACCCATCCTGATCCTAAGATGCGCAACAAGGACTTTTAAACCAGCAGCTGTAACATCTCTGCTAGAGCCTGCATTGAGAACTGGGAGATTCGATGCATGTAATGTACTATTCTTTAACAACCTTACTCTCATGCTTTTCTTTATTGCAGTAATAAACCTTTAGATGGTAGATTCTAAAGGATTGGCTCAGCATGATTTGTGGGTAAGGTCCAGAGTGTAAATTGACCAGGGATCTGTGGCTGGTTTCTTGGAACCGGACAGAACTTGTTCATGGTAGGTGGGATTGGGTTCTAAGACCCCCCCCCCCCCAACCTATGTATGAGGCCCGGGGCCATCTGGGGCACAGATATTGCTGGGGTGTTGGAGGGGTTTTGCTCGTGAGGCTTCAGGCAGCAGCTGAAGCGCTCTGTGGGACTGGTTTGTGGCCTGTTTGGAGAGGTCACCAGTCTGGGGACCGTAAGGAGCCCCAAAGTTGAGCAATTCGCCCTGAGCGGACGCCCTCAGCTGTGCCCAGACACGGCCCAGTCCGTCACACCTGCCTTCAAATCAGTCTTCCTAACTTGCATCTGTTAGTGGTTTGCTTGAATTCCTTGAAGCATAAGGGTTTATATCTCCAACAATTTTTTTTATCCTAACATAATTGCAGATGTTATCATCTATACAAATATTTAAACTCTTTTTAAATTCTTTGTTCTTAGCCTCCATGGTATGTTGTGGCAACAAGTTCCACAAGTCAATTATGCATTATGTACACATGATTTTATTAGTTTTAAATTTGTTGTTTTTCAATTTCGTAGACCATCCCCTGTTTTTTTTATTTTATTTTAAGCCTGAGTTAACTATATGCATGTGATTTATCTTTTCTTTGCATTATTCATTTTATTTATATCCTTATTTTCTCTCTGAATTTTCATCTCTCAAAACAGGCCTTTCCAGAAAAACTCCGATCATCTGAAGAAGTGGGCTGTACCCACAAAAGCTCATGATACCATCTACATGTTTTGTTAGTCTGTAAAGTACTACCAGACCATTTGTTGTTTTTTAAGTTTATTCATACAGCAGCCTTTCCACATCTCTAATCATATTTGTTGCTTGTTTCTCATCTCCTTCAATGCCTGTTACATCTTTTTCAGATGCAATGACCAGAAATGAATACAGAATCCCAGCTTACTTTGTACTAATTATTTCTAACATGGGATCATAAAATTTCAAATTCTACTAAGTTTCTTGAGCAGATGTTTTCACTGAGCTGCCACAAGGCTGTTCAGATCATTCCCCCGAGTGGTTAGAGATTATTTAGAACACATTAATGTGATGGCAAAATTCAAAATATTCCTTCCAATATACATTATTTTGCCATAGCGCAGCCCTTCACTTAGCTTTTCGATGATACTGAGGACACAATTTTCTCTGTTGATTAAACTAAAAGAAATTGCCTCTTCTTCAAATTTTGCCATCTCACATTTTTCTCCCTTTTCAAATCATTAATGGACATATTACATAACACCAGACCTAATACATATTTAGGATGTTAAAATGTGGTTAATTGACTAGTCAATGGAATTTCCATCGACTAGTCGACAGGCACTTCCGCATTCCTCCTTTGAAATGTACAAGAGCCCCAGCAGGGGCCAGTGGGAATTCCCTCTGGCTCTGGGCTGCATGCAGCGTGCCTGCTTTGAAATGCACAAGAGTCCCCAGTGGAGGCTCTGGTGCAGTTCAACTCCATGGAGCCCGGGGTCAGCTAGGGAGTCCCCAGCTGACCCCAGGCTCCATGGCAGCTGCCCTTTTGAAATGCATGGCAGCGGCATTTTAAAGGGGCAGCTGTGGAGCTCAGGGTTACCTGGGGACTCGGAAGTTGGGGGGGGTCACCTGGGGGACTCGGAACCCGGGATCAGCTGGGGAGTCCCCAGCTGACTCTGTGTTTCACGTGGCACTTCCCTGGAACCTGGGACCAACTGTGCAGCAGCCACTTTGAAGTACCCCTTCCCCCCCTTTGCTGTTTCTCTCACAGAGGCAGCAAGTGGGAGGGCATATTGACTAGTTGACTAGTAAAAAGACTATCTGATAAGCAAATGCTTATTGGATAGTTGACTAGTCGATTAGTCTTTAACATCCTTAGTATACATCCTTGGAGAATCCAAGGTGTGACAATTTGAATGATGGAGATTTTTAAAAATTATGTGTGGGATTTTAAATGTCACACTGAGAAATACAGCAAAATCCCTCATCCCAAGAGAGAGATGGGAAGAACTGCTTTCATATTAATCTAAAATAATTGTGACATGATAGTTATGCAATCACCTTCTGTACACTAGCAGCAGGATAGTTTTAATACTCAAGTCAAAGAGGATCTGCCTCATAAGCAAACGATTTAAGAGTTATATAAATCAAAGGTTTCTAACTTTTCAGGTAGCTATGCCAGTTTACTAAACTAAGATCTCAATTGTAACAAACCGTGCCTTTTGATTCCCATTTCAGTTTGTGAAAAACTAAGGTGTGAGAATTCACACGTGTTGCCAACTCTTAAGACTTTATCATAAATCTTGCAACTTTTGGGTTTATCCTACAACTCTATTTACTGGAGTTAGGTGAGTCTCTGGGAATCTCAACTTCAAACAAAGGGTACTTAAAGTGGGTACTAAATATTATTATCAGATTCATTTAGCATGGACTCTCTAATTGAGAATTTCTTCCCCCTTTTTTCTTCTTTTTCCTCCTTTCCCCTCCCCATACCCTCTCTGTGTTTTTATGTGAAAACTGGACCCCTTAAACTCCATTCATCTGAAGAAGTGGGTTGTGCCCACAAAAGCTTATGATACCATCTACTTTTTTTGTTAGTCTCTAACGCTTTGTCTGGACTGCTCTGCTGCATCCAGGGAATATGTCCGCTTTTTCGGAAGTTTCCAAAAAAGTGAACGTGTTCTTTCAGCATCCCTGTATTCTTTTTGGTGAGAGGAATAAGGGATGTTCCGAAAGAGGAGTTTTTTCTGAAATTTGGCCCCATGTAGACCGGCCAAATTTCGGAAATGCCTCTTTTTTCCAAAAGGCGGAAATTATGGTTCACAATTTGCGTATCTTTTTCTGACTTTTCTCTGCAGTCTAGACACAGCCTAAAGTGCTGCAAGACTATTTGTTGTTGTTTAAGTTTCTCCAGTTACAGAATAACATGTCTATCCCTCTGAAACTGTATTTTACAGAGTAATTTCTAGCCCTTCTTATTGTGAAGAAAAGCATAAAGGGGAACTCTAAACAGACTAAAGCCAGAAGGAAAATAAAAAGAATATAAAATTAATATTTAAATGACTCATTTGGGGGGGACCTTGACTCTTGATTTTTAAATACCTTGAGTTGGTAATAATATGCTCTAGTCGCATGACCACAAGCCAACCAAGAGAACAGAGTAGCCACAAATGAATGAGAAGCAGGAAGAGACTCCAGAATACTAGAGTTCACTATTAAGCAGGTTTACTCAACCCACAGCTACATGTGGTCCACAGCCTGTTTGTCAGGGGCAGCCCATGATGATAAGCCAACTCGGCAGTCACCTAGGGTGCCGCCTTCAATGAGGCGCCCAATGAGGACATTACTCCATTGATGGCCGTGCAGGCAGGGGCGCTGATCGCACGTTCCACCTAGGGTGCCAGCTGCCACAGCCCGCCTCGGGCCATTCCTGCCCATGATGCAGTTTGGGTTTACACGAGGCTCAACACGCAGCACATGCGTGGGATCCTTTGAACATAATCTCCACTGCGAACACACTCCACAACGGCGAGGCATCTGCCAGGCGGGGTGAACACTGAAAGATGCAAGTGAATGGGCTGGTTGGGACAGACAGGTACCAGGTGTCAGAGTTCCCAGCCCCAGGAAGGAGGTGCTGGGAGCTTGGGGACAATGTGTGAAAGAAACTATATGCATATATTTGCATCTGTGTTTGCATGTATATGCAACCGCACTTAAGTTACGGCCCTCAGCATGTGTAGTGAGCATCACTGTGGCCCCCAGGCTTCCAAAGTTGAGTAGCCCTGCTATTAAGGGTCGCATGAAGTTCCCCTTAAAATCAACAGAAAACTGGGGTTGACCTCAGCAGGATTTGGACCGGACCCGGAGGCAATTTAGAGTCGCAGTCACAGAAGCTTGAAGGTTCCAGCACCACTGATCTAGCCCAGTTGTGGAGCTACTGATGGAGACTGGGGAAGTATCCCATTTAAGGCGCGCAGGACCCTGCCCGCAGCAACCCGGAATGGTCCTCGCACTGCTACAGCGTCTTCCTACATTGCCTCCCGTACTTCACCGCGGGCCCCTGCAGCGGCGCGCGCATAAGCAGACTTACCAGACGGTTTCAATGGGGACTGACTGGCATGGGGATGATCAGAGCTGAAAGAACATCCGGGGGAAGTATCCCATTTAAGGCGCGCAGGACCCTGCCCGCAGCAACCCGGAATGGTCCTCGCACTGCTACAGCGTCTTCCTACATTGCCTCCCGTACTTCACCGCGGGCCCCTGCAGCGGCGCGCGCATAAGCAGACTTACCAGACGGTTTCAATGGGGACTGACTGGCATGGGGATGATCAGAGCTGAAAGAACATCCGAGTGGGGAAGTGCACGGAGCACACAGACTCCCCCGGCACCGAGCCCCTCTCCCCGGGGCTGGGAGCCAGGCACAGAACCCTGCACGCACCCGCCAGGGACGCTCCCACCCAAACC